AAATTTTTTATAAACAACATATTATGTTATATAATTTATCAACTATGGATTTATATTTCTATTTATAATATTTTTAAAATTGAATTAATAATTAAATCAATTTAGGTACTAATTCAAGATTTAATAGTTTGATAGTAATTCTATTTTAAGAATTGTACAAATTAATTACATCAATCTCTTGACATATCATCACAAAAAATTAATTTTTTTTTCTTCCTCATGGTGGGAATAACAACATAAACCAATGACTTTTTCTTTTTTGACATAATTTTTAATCTAATTTTTCATTTTTATGTATTTTTTTATATTTTAGTTCTCAAAATATGTTTTGTTTAAATATTTTTATTTGATTTTATTACATGAAATTTTGTTTAATTTATTTAAAAATACTAAAAAGTAAAAAGTAAAAAAAAAAACTTTAATGTTTTTTTAAATTTTATTTTACATATAGATAATAAACTGACACATCAGTAATTTTAGTTTAAATCAATTTTTATATGGAATAAATAATATTCATATGATGGTACATGATAGAATATACCATAAAATATAAGATTTTGAAATGTAATATAATTTGACTATCAAATGTCTCCCATTTTCCAACTATCAAATTAAAAAATTTTACAAGATTTTTAAATGTAATGCAATTTTACAAGAATTTAAAAATCACTTTTATTATTTAAAATAATATTACTATTTGATATGTAAGATCGATCTTGGTTCAATGTTACATGTCGATCTTAAATATCCTCTAATTTTCTTATTTTTTTATTTGGTATAAGTCATGTTAGTTAATTCTAGAAATTTGTGCAAATTATGTTAGTTAAATGCACAATTATGAATATAATTACTAATTAATTAATTAATAATTATTCTCTATTAATTGATATTTTTATCTTAAGTTTACAAAAGTGTGGTTATTTTAATTCTGGTTAAAATATTAACCTTTAAATATTAATGCTTAAAATATTATTTTTATTTTAAAATGAATTTATCTTAATTTAAATATTTGTTTTAAAAAAATTGAAAGTTAGTCCATAGAATATAATTTAAAGATTTTTTTACAAAAAAAAAATTGAAAGTTAATCCATAGAATAGACTAATTAGTGCATGAAGTAAGTTGATTAATTTATATAATGGACTATGATAATTTTTTAATAATTAATTTATTATTTTTTAAAAAAATTGGCTCATAAACTAGGCTTAGTCGTAAGGGATTTATGGACTTTTTGGCCTGTGAACTAGATTATAAGTGGACATTTTGATACTGAGAGTTTTTTTTGACCCTGATCTACGTAAGTTAGAATTTTGGAAAATACACCGACCTATTTAACAAATCTAAGTATTAAAAAAGTGACTCGAATTGCGGCTTTTGTCCTACCCGAGACCCAAAAGTTTCTCATTCATATTCTTAGGTTAGCTATAAATTCTTGATGCCATGATATATATATAAGATCAACATGATAATTAATTAACATTATACTCCTCAAAACCACCATTTATAATTTGCGTGGTCCATAAATTGAGGACAGCACATTAGGAATAAAGTACTTTGCTCTCCAATGTTTCTTTAACATGTTATAAGCATATAGTATATGTTGGAGAAGAATCCAATAGGCCAATATGATGGTTACTCATTTATTAATAAATCAGCCACATGTATATGCATGCAATGCCATATAGGAATTCGGAATTAGGCTTTTTAATCTCTTGTGTGATATATAATTAACATAGAAACTTTCAATTGGCATTATTTATTTATTTATTTTATTTAGTTCTATAGGTTCGATTGGTGGTGGAGGATGATGATTCGTTCATATGCTTCAGCCAGAGCTTTTAAAACCCTAGGTTTTTCATAGTTGAGGAGGCGGCGCGTGTTTTTTTATTTTATTTTATTTTTAATTCAACTTCTTTTATTTGTTCACTGTTTTCAATTTTTAATTTTCTCTTTTCAAATGATAAGAATCACAACTACATACAAATGTGGTTTGATGATTTAAACTTTATTTTTTATTTTTCATATTTAGAGTAGACAGCTGATTACTATATTTAAATATATTTTTAAAATAATCTTTTAATTCGATTAATTGAATCTCTCTTTCACAATTTTGTGTCAATGACAAGTCTAACTTTTCGTGACATCTTTTGATAGAATGATTAATAATAACACATCAAAGAACTTGTAGTTTATTTAATAAATAATTCATTTTAAAGATTTAGGAGTGTAACTTAATTTGATTATTTGTTAAACCATTTATCTTTTTACAAAAAAGTTTGCCCGAGTGAGATTAAATTTGAATTTCTTAAATACATAAGCAAAAATTTGAAATTCGATCAATGTTTTTGGAGCAAACTTTGTTTAGAGAATGTAATTCACTTATAAGCTATAAAACACCAATTCAACATCAGACACAAACACAATTAATGCCCAAAATTTAGGACAAGGGAGACATATATACTTATAAGCATTACAGATTTTATATGATAATGACTTTTAGAAGATGAATTATAACTCTTAAAAGTTAAAATAACCAATAATTCTTATAAAAATGAGCCTCAGCCCTCAAAAGGTTTAAAAAAATGTTATGAGCTTTATAATATTTACAAATAAATTGACTTCTTAATTTTTTTGACATAAGCATGTTAGATAAGTGTTTGATTAAAAGAATGTGTTGGTTCACTATCTTGATTCATCCAAATTAAGTCAAATTTTTTTTCAAATTATGTGAGATATATATAGGTATCTGAACAAAAAGAACAATAATTTTAATTGTGACACAGTGAAAAAGTATTAGATATGTGTCGAGACTAGTATTGTATGCAAAACGTGTCGGACACATCAAGACAACGTTTGATGGATGTATTATACTTCACAATATGAGTGTCAATATATCCTAAAGAAATTAAAAATCATAGTGATTGACTAAAGTACTCCTTCATAATCATATTCACCACAAAAAAATCATTTATCCTTATTTTCTTTTGAAATATCATTGTATCTAGTGATAACACAAAACAAGAATAATAAAGAATAAAAAAAAAGGCAAAACAATCAGACAAAAGATTAAGAAAATATTATTCAATTGACACCATTAACTTTTGTTATTCAATTTATTTTTTGTGTTAATCCTTTATAATGTTAATTGACACGTTAATTGAGTTGTTTTATCAACTTGTCATTTTATAACGGGGCACTCTTCCTTTTGGACTACCTTTGGTGTTCTCCCTGCAACCAACTTTTCTTTTGCACCATCACATTCCATTTACATTATTCTCGCACATCAATCTCACACATGCCTTTCACGAAAAAAAAAAAAACCAAAGAAAAAAAATAAAAGTTAAGAATAATGGTATTGTGCAAGTATTACAGTGGAGATTCTTGAAAAGATTAAAGATTTTAGTGCCAAAGATAAAGAAGAAAAAACATTATATGGGGACAAATTATTACGATGAAAATGACTGAACTTAATTTTTTATTTGGTCTCATCATTCCACATCCCTTCACCAAGAATTAATAGCGAAAGGCTAGAAAGTACGTTCAGAGATCTTGGTAATAATAATCCTTAGATTAAACATTATATGAAGAGTCGCGTAGGTTAGAAAAGTTATCTTGAATCTCAAACTCCCTTAATTAAAGAATCATCGGTTGCCTTTTAAGTATATATGGGAGAAGAAATACAATACTATATATAGCTTAGAAAAGTTATCTTGAATCTCAAACTCCCTTAATTAAAGAATCATCGGTTGCCTTTCCAAGTAGAATGCTAACAAAGGAGCTCTGAATCTCTAGTAACACAACACATAATAGTTGCAAATACACACTCTCAATAGACCAATCCAACCTCTACTTTGGTGATGGCGATGAGGAGTGCCCCTGAGAATGATGACATTTCTATTGATCAATAGGTAATTATATACAAGTATACATGCTAAATTATCTCCCTCATATCTTTGATATGATTTGGCAATATTCTGCAATAAAGGAGAATTAAAACCAACAAAATATACGCCAAATTAAATATTCTAATTGAGGAAATAATCTCAAGAATTATGCATGAGAGCATAACCCGTATATCATATCCCATATTACCCTCCCTCAAGGTGGAGCATGAGGATTACGAATGCCCAGCTTGTTAAGCAGAGTCTGAAATTGATGTCGTCCCAAGGCTTTTGTAAGGATGT